CGTGGGCACCTGCGGGCGCGTGGGGCTGGCTCGTCGCCCTGACTCCCGATGCTGCACCCAGGCCTGTCCTGCCAGCCTCGCCGTCCTGGCGAACGGCCCCTCCTGCGCTCAGTTGTTCAGGAGACAAACGTGCCATCACCCTTGAACCCCGTCTTTCTCACGTATCCCACGTCCACTCCACATGTCCTTCGCTTCTACTTTCGAAATACATGCAGATATTTGATGATGTCGAGGAATTACGGTTAAGGTTTTTTTAGATGCGATAATGGTCTGGTGGTTACGTTCTTAAATAGAACCCTTATCTTTTAGAGATTCTTACTGAAATATTTATGGATGACATGATACGAAGTCTGGAATTTGCTCAGAATAATCTAGGGCAGTGATTCTCACCAAGAGGACTCATTAAAACACAGCTTTCTGGGTCTCGAGCCCAGAGTTTCTGATTCGGCCGGGCTGGGCTGGGGCCTGGTGATTTGTGTTTCTAACACTGGGTGGTACCTACTGTCTGAGGCCCACTGATCTCAGGTGTAGGAGCTGGGTGGGGGATGGATGAAACAAGGTGGGCATGAGCTGGCTGCAGCTGGAGCTGGTGGGTGCATGGTTGTGTGGGAACATAGGGTGTATTACACTTACTCTCCTTTACTTTGGAAATTTCCGTAATAAAAAAGCATGTGTGTGTGCATGTGTGCGCACGTGTGCATGTGTGCCTGCGTGCCTGCAGGTGTGCATGTGTGTCTGCACGCACATGCGCATGCATGCATGTGTGTGCACGCATGTCTGCATGTGCATGTGTGTGCACATGTGTGTGCACGTGCATGGGTGCATGCACATGCACTTGTTTGTGTGTACATGTGCATGTGTGTGCGCATGCGTGTGTGCATGGGCACGTGCATGTGTGTCTGCGTGTGTGCATGTGTGTCTGTGTGCATATGTGTCTTGTGTGTGCGTGTGTGCGTGTGCGTGCTCGCGTGTGTGCCTGCATGTGCATGTGTACATGTGCATGTGCGCACACGTGTGTGCACGCGTGTGCATTTGTGCGCACACATGGCGTGTGTGCGTGTCTGTGTGTGCACGCGTGTGCATGTGTGTGTCTGCATGTGCGTGTATGTGTGTGCGCATGTGTGCACGCGTGCATGCGTGTGTGTGTGTGCACGTGTGTGCACGCGTGCGCTCCCAGAATCTGACTGTTTCTCAGCACCTCCACTGCCACCACCGTCGTCCAGCTAGTATCGTCTCTTGCCTGGACCATTGCAGTGCCTGCTAACGGGTGTCCTTACCTTCCCCCTGACCCCTCTAAAATCTCTTCTCGACAGAGCAGTCAGAGTGACCCTCAAAACCCTGCAAGGGCTCCCCCTCTCACTCAGAGTGAAGCCCCAAGTCTTTCTCTAAACCAGAAAGCTCTTCGCAATGTGTCCCCCACCCCCATTCCTCTGTCAGACATGCCGACCTCCTCGCTGGTCCTCGAAAATGCCAGCAATGCTTCTGCCTCGGGACATCGGCACGTGCTCGCGGGGTGGGGCCTGCGACGCTCCCAACCCTTTCCTTAGCCATCGCTCCCTTCCTTCCGGGCTGCGCTCGAAAGTCACCCTTGCAGGAAGGCCTTCTCAGGCCTCACTATGTAAAACGTGACACACGCACACACACACGCACACACGCACACACACACGCTCTTCACACCCTGCTTAC